CTATTGGGAGAAATTCCCCGGATCTAGACTTCCCCGTACGTTCCCGTATCGACAAAATCAATAATCATGCATTGAATGAGTTAAACAAAGCAAGCATTGAGCAAAGAGGAAAAACCCTAACTAATGATGAAAGAAAGCATAGGTCTTAAATATAAGATGTAAAAACAAATTCCATATATGAGAGTTTCACAAGACTACATTGATTCCCCAACAACAATACAAGGTTTAGTTCACCATATTCATGGTGAAACTAGATGAATAATAATGAAAGAATGAAAGATAAAACCCTAGAAAGGTGAAAAGGTAGCCTGAGCATCCAAGATCCTCCTTCAAAGGGGGTGGAAGAGAGAGTGTTTGCTTCGTTTCTGCCAAAGATACAAACCCTAGGACGTACTAAAGCTTATATACTATTCTAAAATTACATAAAATTTAGGCCCAAGCCCATAAGTGTGCCGCTCAGCGGTAAAGTACCGCTCCACGGTAAGTGCGTGAGTTGGTTTCTTCCCCTCAGCGGCCATTTTGCCCCTCAGTGGATCCCCCGTGAGCTTCTGAGTGCCGCTCAGCGGTAAACTGCCGCTGAGAGGCAGTTGCGGCTTCTCCTTTTGCAATTTTTAATGTCTTTTCTGATTTCATATCTTTCCTTCTTCACTTCTTTCACCAAATTCACCTTAAAACCTGCACAAAAACACTGAAATCAAGCATAAACCTGTCCAGCTCTCTTATTTCTGAAAATATGAATAAAAGCATGATTTCAAGCTAGTTTCTAAGTTTTATAGGTTGCTTTTATTATCAATTTCAAGCATGAAAATAACAGTTTTTCAACTGTTATCAACGTCCAACCTCTTTCTATTTGATGTCAACTTTACGTCCAGTCTCCCTTACAGTGACACAAAATCTTGCTTTAAATATTAATATTTATTCAAATATTAGGCTTCACTCTCTTTATTATTCGACGTGCCTATAAACAAGTAACGTCGATCCTCATAAATTGACGTCAATGTTTCGTCCAACCTCTTTCTATTGGACGTCAACTTTACGTCTGATCCCCTTACAATGATGCCAAATCTTCCTTTAAATATAACTATTTATTCAGATATTAGACATCACTCTCTTTACTACTTGACGTGTATATAAAAGAGTAATGTCGGCTTGTAATACAGGACATCTAATTTACATCTCCCGATATGACGTCGGTCTCGAATTCGTCGTTAAAAGCCCAAGTACTAGTGACAGTGGTGACGATGACGGACAACAAAGACAATAACAAACAACAAAG